CAATGGAGGACTACTGTTCCCTTAACAAGTCTTGCTGTAGCATTCACAATCAGTTTAAGCAAGCTATTACTCATCCTAAGGTAATTGCACTGTTAATAAACAAGCCTTCAAGAAAAAGTTATTGAGACAACAGAAGATTTGAAGACAAAAGAATCAATCCTAAAATGCACATCAAGCAAGAGAAAGAACAACTGCAAGAGGAGTGATGAGATTTTTGGGAAGGGAAGGGAAGGGAAGGGAAGGGAAGGGATGGGATTACAGCATTTCAGAGCAAATAATCATTCTCATTGCTGTCAAGTTGAAACTGACTCACAGCTGACCTTCTAGCTGGCCTTCTGAGACCATAAATCCCACTGGAGGAGAATGCCTATCTTTCTCCCACAGAATCATGGGTCCAAAGACCACCCCCTCTCACCCCTAAAGATTGGATTCACAGCCTTTGGATTCACAGCACACCTGACTGCTCATTCCTCTACCAGAGCTGCAAATTGGCACTAAGCTAGCTTATCCACGTTCAGAAGGAAGGGGCATAATCTCAAACTCACAGCTCAAACTAGTTGCCATCAAGTCAGAACCAACTCCTATCTGATGCTCTCCTGTGTGATTCAACTACCTCTGAAAAACCCTCTGGAGGGTGAGCTATGGATAGGTTCTGGCTCGATGGAGTGTGTAAATGGCACAGAAAATTTTGTTCAACTTTCTACCACAGAGTAGAAACCATTTCTGGATTTGAACCACCAGAAATGCGTGGCCTTAGGGTTAGCAATAACTCCTCATGCACTAGGCCACCAGAGCTTCCTAAGGAAAACTTAGGAAACTACTACCAGACACTTCAAAAAATGCCAGAAAAATTCACATTTAGAAGTAAAGAATGAATATACTTCAAAACTCTTCTTAAGTAAGGAGTATTTTCATTGCTTTAAGAACTAAGAAAATAGGGGGAAGAAAGTTTGCTTCTAAAAAAATTGCAAATATTCCCCTCATTTCCAGAAGACTTCTCCCTCTAGCCTATTTCCAAATTGCTGAAGTGTTCACTATCTTTAACAGCAGGAGACACATCCACAGTGGGTGCAATGCAGCTCTCACTTTACAAGCCATCCTGTAAGACCTTGTCCCACGGAGCGACTAGATGACAGCATGCACCCAGTCAAAGAATGGAAATAATCAATGAAATACATCTCGCATACAACTACTTTGTTTTCACTGGTATCTTCATTTCAATGACCAGCTCTAGGCCAGTGTGTTCAAGACTGACAAGGGGTGTAAGGTTTGTTTTTATTATCTTAGCTTTCCCACCCGTTTTCCTTCAAGTGGCACTTTGATCCTTAGATGTGCTTATCTACAGTCATTACTTGCTACTGCTGCTTCCTTCTCTATTACCTTACCTTCTAGCACTCAAACTCTTTGTCCTGGAGTCAGAACCAACTCTTAGCTGGCCCGCCAGTGGGTTTCCAAAGGCTGTAAATCAGACAGGAAACTGCCTATGTTTCTTACTTGGAGCCACTGATGAATTTGAACCGCCAGACTGGTGTGGCCTTGGGTTTAGCAGCACAACTGCCAAGGAACTAGACCACTCTTCTACTGCTAGCATGTTAGCTATTGACAGAGACCCGGCCAATATTTTGCCTTTTTCTGGCAGAAAGCACCTTCAAGTAACCAGATTCCTTCTGATTCCCTCCTCAGCAGCCCAGTGTAACCAACTCTCCCTTGATACATAAAGGCATGATAGATAGCACACACACCTGCACTCCCCAGAACCAATATTTCTTTTCCTAAAGCTCTTGGGCCTCTAGTGCTGCCTGGTCAGTCCATGAGCCCCTCTCCTTCCAGGTGAGCATGCGCTGATGGGGCTTGCTGGAGGAGAGCAGAGCTCATCCACCATACAGCTTCCATTCCCACCCTCCACCCGACAAGCCAAGGATCCCTCACTAATCTCCTCAGAGGCCAGAGTTCCTTTCTGTGCCTCATCTGACCCAAAGACACTGTAAAAGCTAAAGACTGAAACCACTCTGAAGACAGGGCCACACATCTTCCATCAACACATCCCCTAACTCACCGCTTGCCACTGAGCAACTGTGACTGCTGGGTAGTCTCTCTGGGCCCTTCATCTTACTCTCAGCTGTTTCCCATTCCTCCCCACCCCACTCTAGTCGAGGATCTTTCTAGCAAGGAAAAAAAGAAAATGCAGTGCTCCATTCATATATATTGTAGCCCAAATTTAATGCTACTTCTCCCAAAGATGTTTATATATTTCCAGAGGGAAGTGACGTTTGAAGGGAGCCACTCCTTGCAGGGCCTGTTCTCACTTCACAGGCCTCAGTCTCCCTTGCTAAGTCCTATCTCCCTGGCCCAAACCCCAGAAATAACTCCCTAGCCCTCCAAAATTACTCTACCCTGAATGTTCGCCAACCTGGCTTCACTTCACACCCCAAAGAGTAAATTTGGTCTTGCCCGCTCCTACCTACCTCCTTTCTACCGCTCCTAGCCTAGGGAGCTCGGGAGTTACAGTCCATAGGGAGCTGTAATGCTACATCCAAGGCTGTGCCTCTTTGGGGGCGTGAATTCAACAGAGGCTCTGAGGTGACAAGATGATCAATCTCCTCCCATGCTATTTACAGCCTTGGAAATGGAGGGTAAGTTTTGAATAGGTTCTGACTCAACAGCATCGGGTTTGGGTTGGTTTGACCTTGTTTATCTTGGTAGCCTGCTCCATTCCTGTTTCCCATTCTCCTACTAAAGCCAGTTTCTTAGCAGGAGCTCTGCCTCCTGAGCCCAGATTCCTAGGCTTGGGATATCAGCCCAGGTTTACTGAGTTTTTCAAGTAGCAAAGGCAGTGCTACATGTCTCATTGGCATAATGCCATTTAACACTGACTGTGAAGGACCCTATCATTCTAGGGCTACAAGAAAAAGTATATATATAAAAATCAGATGTCCTAAGATAGTGCTGGCTCTAAGCATGATGCAATGAGGACATTTGGACATATGTAGATGAGAACTCTTGACCTTATTCAGATCCTCCAGAAACTTCTTGGCTGATAGACCCATTACCACCTAGTGGATTCCAACTCCTAGGGAGCTCCTATGACAAAAGAGACTGCCCCATCGTTTTCCTGAGAGTGGATGGTAGCTTTGAACTGCCCACCTTTTGGTTCACAGCCAAGCACTTGCCCACAGTGCAACCCGAATCTTTTGACAGACAGAGAGGTTGTTTCCTAACGACCTTCTCCATTATTAAACCTCTCCAACTTCGCCTCTCAAAGGGATGTAGATTCTTCTCCTCAGGACCCACTTCCATGCTCACTGTTGGGGGGCCCATTATGGAGGGTAAGCACGGACTCTTCCACGTAGTGAGCTCTTTCACCTTTTCTCACCACCCCAGATTCTGCTTCTAGGGATGGCTGGCACCTATTTCCCTTCCAACCCCTCAGCACCTTCCTGCAGAATACCTAAATTTCTAAAGAATTCTTATTTTCAGATGGTTAGGAACACAAGCATCCTTGCGCTACCTTACTGATACGTAGTGAGCTGTTTTGTATGTTTTTGTGACTGTTCCTGATACATTCGTAAGAACAAGGAAGCCATGCTCACCTTATCAGGAACCTAGTCTTTGTCTACCCCTCACTGCTTCCAAATCCTTCATTTCCAGAGATACCACACAGCGCAGCCTGGCTGTGAGGCAGCCAGCAGCTGGCCAATATGCACAAGCAGAAGCACCTGTGTGAGAGGGACAGAAAGCTATCTCATTCCCTAGGATCAGGCTATATTGATTATGGGCGTATTTACCGAAAGTTTAGCTTCTAATATTATTAGCTGGAGCTTATCAAAGCCCACTAGATTAAGACACAAAAGATGTAGTTTCCCACAGCTGCCCACAGGCAGTAAGGGTTCAAGGCCAGAACTCCCCTGGCAGCTTGAAGGAAGGGACACAGAGGTCTAGAGATCTGGGAACATAGCCTACTTGTCCAGGTTCCTGTCTGTTGTCCAAGACTTATTATCAAAAGTGTCTTCTTTCGGACAATGTGCCACCTGTTCAATCACCCCCTAACTCCTCCCACCCTGGAATGCGCAGAGGCCACCACTCACCGAGGCTGTATGAAATTGGTCTACAGAGGGTGCCTTGGGTCCCTGCCATACCCCCCTGGTCGCTGCCCCTCAGTCTAGCAATGAGAGTGGGGAGTAACTGTGGTAGAACTGGGTCCCCAGACCTCAAAGGAAACAATGGCAGCCAGAGGGAGAGTGGTAGCCCTTCAAACATGAAACGACAAATCATTTTTTTAGTAGTGCTTGGTATTTATTAAAAAGGATTCCAAAGCTGTTTCCAGGGAATACTGGGCTGAGTACCTGCTTTCATTTTTAGGCATTTTGGTTTTTCACAGTCTTTGTCCAAATGCACACATCTGTGGCACTGCTGCATTGTGAAAAGGAAAACGACAGCTGGGCACCACTGAATGCCCAGGAAGGACTGGTCCCTGTGGGGTTGCCAGGCCCCTGCAGCCATCTGGTGAGGTGGGGAGGGGGCTGGGATCAGGTAGGAAAGCGCCAGGCTGAAGGAATGGTCAAAGTTGGTCCTTAGCTCCAAAGGCTGTGGTCCTGCAGTGGGAAGTGGCGGGGTTTGGGGGTGGCAACCCAGGCCTCTGGGAAGATGAGGGCCTGGCAAGCAGTCTGGCAAGGCCTGGCAAGGGTGAGTAGCAGCAGCAGGATTGTGGATGATCAGTCCAGTTTGTCACCTGGGCCTGGCCTTTCGGCTGGGGTTCAGGCGACCGAATGGGCTGGGAGAAGTCCTGGGGCTGTCCAGAAGGGGCGGTGGAGCCCAAGGCCTGTGCCCCTGCAGCAGGTAACAGTAGCACTATTCCTAGAACAAAGACAAGCACTACAGGGAGGTGGGGAGGGAATGAGAACGGAAGCACAGAGCGAGGGCAGAGGACAAGAGTAAGCTTGGGGACTACAGGGGAGTGGGTGGGCGCAGGGCCCTCTCCCCAGGTCGGAGGCTCTCTTGACCTAGTAAAAGTCGTTTTCCTCCTCCTCGTCATCTTCATCATCGTCCCAGCTGAAAAACTGCTTCATCTCATCCAGGAAGGCCCGGTAATCCAACAGGATGGGGCTATCCATCTCGATGTAGGGAAGCACCCACTCTTCGGCTTCTCCCTTGAGCAGGCTGATCAGGAAAGCCACCTTCATGGCGTCGTTGCAGAATCGGTTCTCGTTGACAAGCATGTAGGACGTCGTCTGCACGATAAACTCGGGAAGCCGGCCGTTTTCGCCCCCGAATGTCTCCGGGAAGGGCACTGGGCAGCTGGGCGGCGGACGTACCTGGCGCAGCAAGGTGGCTCTCTCACACACCAAAAACCGCAACTGCTCCATCAGCTGGCTGTTCTCGATGCTCAGGGCCCGGTGGCGCACCAGCAGGGCGTGCAGCAGCAGCACCAGCTCGTCCACCATGGCGAAGCACGCAGGAGCTCAGTTCTCTCGCAGACTGGCCAGGATCTGTGCAGAGACCTCGCAGGAAGTGCGTGTCCTCCCAGGCCCGGGAGAGGAGCAGGATGGCGAGTGGGGCGGGGCTGTGAAAGCCAAGCTTTGTGCAGGCTCGGCTCCCTGGTTGCCAAGGCGACAAGCTCAGCGCTAGAGAAGTGACCATGGAGTGAGCAGGCTGAGCCTCAGGGGGCGTGGCTATGGATGAAGTGGGCCGGGCATTGGGGCGTGGCTAGGGGCGTGGCTGGCAAGGTTCAGACAGCGCAGGGCGGTGTGTGAAGGTAGAGAAGGTAGGAAAGTGTTGCTTTAGTTGAGGGTGCTGCAAGTGGCAACCCCCACCTCTGAGAGACAGGCCACCTGCTCCAGTTTAAAGAATTGACAATTACCACCCCCCAGACACACCTATTTACAATTCATTGTTCCCTTCTCAAGTCTGCAACCACTGGATATTATTTATGTAAATGCTTCCAAGAGCTGTCTGCAGAACTGGCTGTCTTACATTCTTTCAAAGACGTGCACAAGAGGTCCTGTTTTTCTTGATATAACAAAACTTAAACAGACTTTTCTTAATTTGGGAAATAACTTTTTTTTTCTCTTCTTGAATTTTAAAAAAAAAAACCTCTGGTGAGGTTGTGGAGAGATTGGAACCTTATTCACTGCTGGTAGAATGTAAAAGGCAGTATGGTGCTTTCTAAAAACGTTGGAAATATCAATACCATTTGATCCAGCAGTGCCACTACTAGGATTATAATCTAAAGAAACCAGAGCTGCCACCCAAACAGATATATGCACACTCATGTTTATTTCTGCATTATTCACAATAGCAAAAAGAGGGTAGCAACCCAACTTGCCATCAACAAACGAATGGATAGAAACACTATAATATAGTCATACAACAGAGTACTATGCAGCCCTGAAAAACAAGGAATCCATAAAATGGTACTTAACTTGAGTGATTTTGGAGGCCATTATGCTGAGGGAAATATCTCAGTCACAAAAGGACAAATACTGCATAACACCACTGTTATAAGACTGACATGGGAGTTGGGTGGAAACAAAGAAAAGGGGATAAATAATGAACACTTCATTGGAAGAGATGAGGGAAAGAACTGTTTAAAGGGAATATATGATTAGGCATTATTTGAATGAAAGCAGTCCAGAATAAGAGGTACATAGAAAAGTGGACTGAGCAGGAGGGAGGAAATCATGCAACAATGAATGAATATTTTCTTTTAAAAAATGAACCGGAGGGGAGCTCTGGTGGCCTAGTGGCAAGGAGCTGCAACTACAATCCCAGAGGCGCACGGTTCGAATCCACCAGATGCTCTGCCGGGGAAGGAGGGACAAGGGAAGGAGGGACAATCTCCTCCTGTACGAGTCAGATCTAATTTGACGGTACACTCACACAAAAAATTTAAAAAAAGAAAATGAACCGGGGAGGGGGGGGAGGTAAGGAGCAAAATATGCAAAATTGAATTAATAGAAATTTAACATTTTTTGTAAACTTACATTAAAATCATAAGAAAAAACCACTCAAACTCATTGCCTTAAACCAGAACTGACTCACAGCTGATCATCCAATGGGCTTTTTATTTTAAAAAAATTAATTTTATTATTTTTGTTTGTGTACTGTCAAATCGGATCTGACTGGCACAGGAGGAGCTTGCCCCTCCTTCTCCAGCAGAGAATCTTGTGAATTCAAACAGCCTCCAGTGGGTTTTTAAAGGCTGTAAATTGTAGGGTCAGCCACAATTTGTTATGATCCACACAGCCAAATGTATTTGCATAGTCTATAAAACACAAATAGACGTTCTTCTGGTGTTCCTTACTTATAGCCAGGATCCATCTGACACATCAGCAATGTATCCCTGGTGCCACAATCTTTTCTAAATCTTGCTTGAACTTCTGGCAGTTTGCTGTCTACATACTGTTCATTTTTTAGTGAACTTCAGCAGTATTTTACTTGCATGTGACATTAATGACATTGTTCAACAGTTTCCACATTCAGTTGGATCACCTTTCTTGGGAATGTGAATAAATATGGACTTCTTTCAGTCCATTGACCAGATAGCTGTCCTCCAAATTTTCTGGCATAAACTGGTGAGTGCATCCAAGGCTGCATCTGTTAATTGAAACAAGTCAATTGATATTCCATAAATTTTTGGAGCCTTATATTTTTCCAGTGCCTTGAATGCAACTTCCACTTCCTTCTTTATCATCACTAGCTCCTGTTCACATGGTACTTCCTGAAATTTTTCTGGGTTGATCAGTTCTTTCTGGTACACTGATTCTGTGTATTCCCTCCATTTTCTTTGATGCTTTCCGAGTCATTCAATATATTACCCATAGCATCTTTCTGTATTGCAACAATATGTAGATGACACAATCTTTTTTGCTAAAAGTGAGTACTTGAAGCACTTGTTACAAAAGATCAAGGAATGCATCCTTCAGTATGGATTACATCTCAATGTCAAGGAAACAAAGATTGGACCAATAGGCAATTATCATGATGGATGGAAATGAGATTGAAACTGTCAACAGTTTCATCTTGCTTGGATCCTCAATTAATCAATACCCTTGGTACCAGCAGTGGGGAAATAATGAGATGCATTGCACTGGGAAAATCGGCAGTTAGGAAACTTTCCAAATTATTGAGGAGTAATGATGCTAGTTTGAGGACTGAGGTGGGTCTGATTCAGGTCATAGTCTTTCTGATTACTTACTATGCATCTGAGAGCTGGACAATAAATAAGGATGCCAGAAAAAGAATTGATACCTTTGAGCTGTGGTGTTGGAGAAGAACAATGAACATCCCATGGGCAGCCAAGAAAATGAGTAGACATGTCTTGGAGAGGGTGCAGCTGGAGTGCTCTTTGGAGGCAAGAATGATGAGGCTTTGCCTCACATACTTGGGACATACTGCTAGGCAGGGTTATTACTTGGAGAAGGACATGATGCTGGAAAGGGTGGAAGGTCAGTGAAAGAGAGGAAGACCAGGTGGATTGACACAGTGACTGCTGCAATGAAATGGTTCTTGTGCGTCAGGAATTGTAAGAATGGTACAGTATAGAGCAGGGTTAAGGTCGATATGAGTCATATTTTTCTCAACGACACCTAACAACAACAACAAAATAGTAGGGTAGAACACTGCCTATCTTTCTCCCATGGAATCACAGTTGACTTTGAACCAGCTGCCTTTGGGTTGACAGTACAACTCCATACTGTCTAGGCTACCAGAGTTTCCCCCCTTTCAAATAGTGAAATATAAACGCTCTCCTAAATCAGGACCTTATAACCCTTGGCAGAATTTGTGCTTCAAGGAATCTTTTGCATGTTGTGCCGCTAACCAAAAAGACTGAATCTACCAGGACCTCTGAGGGAGCAAGACTGGCAATCTCCGCCTATGAAGATATACAACCTCAGAAACCCAATGACATGTAGTTAAGAGGTTAAATGGACTTGGTGGAAATGGGCTTGTTTGGGGAGGTTGTCATTGTTTTGTGCCATTGAGTTGCCTGCAACTCATAGTGACCCTAACAGCTCTGAAGCCTACCCAACACACCTACCCTCATTGCTATCGTTACTGTATCAATCCATCTCATCCAGGGTCTTCCTCTCCTGCGCTGTCCCTCCACCCTTTGGAGCATGATGTCTTTTTCCAAAGATCAGGCCTATGATTATGTTTTGTTCAATTATTAAGATGATTGTGGTTTTGAAATGTGTTTGTTTTTCCTATGTTGAGTGTAATTCAGTACATGTGCTGTAACTGAATCAGCCTATTGTTACGTGCCTTCAAGTCACCTGCAACTCATAACGACCCTATGTACAGTAGCTCTGAAGGTTGCCCTGAGGAGCAAGTCTCACGGACCCCAATACACCTACCCCCATTGCCCTGCTTACTGTATCAATCCTTCTCATCCAGGGTCTTACTCTCCTGCATTGTCCCCCACCCTTCTGAGCATGATGTCCTTCTCCAAGGATCGGTCCCTCCTGGTCACGTGCCCAAAGTGTGTGATATGGAGCTTCAAAATCACCCTCTCCAAGACAGACCTATTTGTTTTCTTGGCAGTGCATGGAATGTTCAAGACTCTTCTCCAGCACCACAACTCAAAGGTATCTACTCTTCTTCTGTCATCTTTAGTCATTATGCGGCTCTGATGCACAGCAAGTAATTGTGAAGACAATGGCCTGGATCATGTACGCCTTCATCTCTAGACTGACATCGTTGCTCTTTAGCACTCTGGAGGTATCAAAAGCATTTCCTGCCTTTATCTTTGAATGACAGATTTGTAGGCTGAATTCTCTAGAGAAAAAAAGCTAGTGAATTGTAGATTATATAAACGTACACCAAGAGATTTATTCCAGGGAAATGGCTAACAAAGTTATGGAAGCTAGCAAGTAGAGTACAAGTCAGACTGATCCTTTGAACAACAGATCTGAACCCTTTTCTATCCTGCACCATTCTTTTGAGCTCATTGCCAAAGACACTGTGTTGATCCATCTCCTTAAAGATTTTCCTCTCTTTTGCTGATTCTCCACTTTTCCATGCATGGTGTCCTTATCCAAGGAATAGCCTGTCCTAGGAAATGTGGCATCAGGATTGGTGGAAGAGTCATCAACAACCTGTGTTATATGGATGACACAACCCTGCTTGCTGAAACTGAGGAGGACCTGAAGCGCTTGCTGCAGAAGATCAAAGACTGCAGCCTTCAATACAGACTGAAGCTCAACATCAAGAAAACAAAGATTCTCACCACTGGGCCAATTGGCAGCATCAGTTTGGATAGTGAAGAGACTGAGAATGTTAACAGTTTTAGTTTACTTAGTTCCATGGTCAACATTGTTGGTAACAACAGCCAGGAAATCAAGAGGCGAATTGCATTGGGAAAGTCAGCTGTGAGGGACCTCTCAAGAGTACTGAAGAGTAACGATGTCAGGCTGGAGACTAAGGTGTGCCTGATCCAGGCTAT